CAAGTTCAACATGAAACCGATGAAACTTATGAGACTTCACATCCAATGGTTTCAAAGCCTATTACTACCAATCCTGAGGTAACATTCCCAATGCCTACTTTTGTTCCAATCACATATGATTTTTTCTAGGATTTCTATGTTCCTTCACCCACCTCTACTATCTCCACTCCAATCACAATAGCTCCTTGCCCACCTATCTCTATCGGTGTTTCACAAACTCAAGCTACTTTCGCACACTATACTCCCCTGTTTACAGAATCAACAACAGCCATTACGAGCACACCTCCAGTTTATGCCAACGTATCTGATACGGGGGAAGATGCTTCAGGTTTTACTCTTGGTCATGATTTGCATCCCATCTCACCTCTACGCGAAGATGATCCAGACACTATATCTGGTGACAATCAGGATGATTTTGCAGACTTCCACTACAGTCCTTTCCATGATCAAGCTGAAAGGGATGATGACGCTCCACTCACTAAAGGGCAACTGAAAGCAATCAACGAGAAGCTAGATTCACTGTTTGAGCCCTCCAAAGCCTCAACCAACAACGATTATTCCTAGGAGACAATCAAAGCTTTTATTAACACCCTAACCAAGGAGCACACTGCGAATGTAGACAAAACCAACAAAGCAGTTGAAGATTCAGCCACAATTTGCAAAGAGGTGACCAAAAATGTCAATAAACTACTTTATGTTGTCAAAACCTTCATGGGTGACTTTCGAACGTCCTTTGAGACTAACACAACCAATGTCAACCAAGTGATTACCAGCCTTTGTGCCACACTCAAAACCGAGAAAGCTGCTCTTAAGAAGGTTCGTACCAATATTCAAACTGCTCATACAGAGCATCAAACCTCCATCTCTTCCAAGATTGAAAAACTACATGAAGAATTGGCTCTTGAAAACAAAATAATGAATGAGCTCACCATAAAAAATAGATAAGGTTAAAGTCTTATTCGTCAAGCTACTCATGCTAATAAGCAAATTGATGAGCTCTTATCGGAAAATTTTGTGATGAAGAGTTGGATTGTCGACGTGAATGCCTTGCTCTCTAGTATCATTAAAACTCATGATTCTCTGATCCTTATCACTGTCAGGAAGCACCTGGCTGCTAAACTTAGGCATGTTTTCGCGATGCTCAATAGGCTTGAGGGTGTTTTGGATTCGAACATACCTCCAAAACAAGGGAGAGAACAAAGGTAAATCTTCTGGTGCTGAACAGTCCACTGGTTCTAATGCAAAAACTGAACAAAAGCCCAAGACAAATGAACCAAAGGGTAATGTAGCTTCGGGTTCGAAGGGTAAAAAAAAGTTGTGAATGATGATGATGATGATGAGGAAGAAGAAGACGAAACTACAGAGCCTAAGCGCAAGAATCGTGATGCAGAAGTTGACAACAATTTGTATATCGCTAGAGAGGCTGGAGAATAAGAAAAGGCTATTTGAGAAGCTCAAATCACTTTGGAATCCCATAAGCTTATCTTTCCTCTGTGGACTTTGGAGTGTATAATAAGTGAAGCAATTGACAATCCGAGCAAGTATTGGCTAGAACCTTTACATATTTTGATGTGGATAACTCTTCTGATTCACAACTCAATCTGCCAATTACTCCAAAAGCCTTCCAGTTTCATTGGTTTGAAATTGTTGCGAATTTGCCTTTTTTTGAAAACCGTACTGATTAAATGCTCTTTTCATTCTATCCAAAGCATATTAATCCTCAATATGAAACCTGAAGCTCAAAGAAGATAATTGTTATGAAGGTTTCGGGGCCGATTGAAATTGAGAGGTTTGCAAACGCTCGTTTCAAGGTCGCTCGGGTGTTCCGAGTTCTCTCTTTGAATTCACACTCGTAAAAATTTTGTGCCTGAATCCCTATGACTGGATATCTCTTCCTCGTCTCTTACTCAAAGATGAACAGAAATATGAACCATTAGTGGCATATCTCAAGAGGATGTTGATGTCGTCTATCCAAGAGATAGGAAAGATAGATATAGATATAGCAACAATGCTCCGAAAGAAGCCATTTGCGTTGCCAACGGAAGCTCCGAAAGACTTTGAGAAGATGAAGTTGGGGACGATTCGGAAAGATGGTTGGTGTATGACATTTCCAATCAAAGAAAGGTTTGATGCTGATTATCACAGAGTCTGCCTCTACCTTTCGGATAAACATCTTTACTCGACTCGCTGCCTGCAATATAACTTGGAGTTTATGGGTCAATGCAAAGCAAACTCTGATAGGGACAAAAAGTGTTTCTTGGATATGATTAACTGGTACATTCGGTTTACAAGACCTTGCTAAGAACAATGCCTAAAAATTTTGAAGTTCAAAAGCATCTACAACCATGAAGAGTCTCTTCCCTTATTAACACAAATGGGTAGATTGTTGGGTATTTAAGTGTTGTGTCAATATTGTTTTGTATTGTAAATAGTTCTTTTTTTATGTACTAGGCTTGTCCACCAAGTTCTATTTTGTGCTAGGGTTTAAGCATTTATAGTGCATGCATGCACCATGTTTTCTAACAAACTAGACAATATCTTGTAACGCTACGCTGACTCTACAGTAGCAGTTCTTTATCGAGCTCTTCCGAGGCAGTACTTTTTAATCATTCAACACTACTTTGATCTTCATTCTTGTGTTTGATTCTTATTCCTATTCTCGAATCTATCGATCAACTCTTTTATTTATTCTAACACCACCATAGATTAACAAAACAAAATCTACAGCATCTATTTGATATGTTCTTCTCTCCATGTCAAGATACACCCATGCAAACTCTCTCACACACATTCTCTAAAAACCTCTTTTGTCTTCTCACAAAGAGTCACCCATGAATATTTTTAACCAGATGGAATCATACAATATATCAATCAAATAAATATATACAAATGGTTTTGATTTTCTCACTTTTTCAGGGATTTAATATCAATTAACAACTAAATCTTGTTGAAAGCTTAGGCTCATGAGAATCAGAAGAAATTGAGAGGTACAATGACCCTCTAAGAGAGTGATATGGACTAAGGTTGAGAGGAATGATAATTGGACGCAAGCTAGTAGATCAGAAACACGTCCTTCTTTCTCTTTGACTCCTTTTCTCTCCCTTCTCCTTCATGTTGAGTAACACCCTTCTTTCTCTTGACTTTCTTTTTATCCCCTCTTCTTCCTATTAAGCAACACTAGCAACAATGATCTCATTTTCTTTCTGAATCAGATTTATAACAATCGAAAGAATAAAGCTTATCAGAAAGAAAAAAATGAAGGACATCATATGAGTATGTATGTTCGTGTTTTAATCTACTGTGTGTATGTGTTAAATACAATCGATTGATCGGACATACTAATTGGTAGCACTTCAAAGGTTGCACTACGGCAGTGGATTTCGTAGTGGTGAAAGTATCAAAATCATCTTTGAACTTCTATTGAATTCCTCACAATTCCTGTTAATCAAAACAAGATTATAAACGATGATATGTTGGTGTTTTGGCTATCAAGTAATGGTGCAATGGTGTTGGTTGTCATAAACGATAGTGGGGAGGAGGTTTCATTGGAGTTATGTTTATGAGATCGACAACGAGGTTGGATCGCTGAGAAGAATAGGGGATGTTGATAATGGATTGGGGGATGGGGAGGGGATAAAATCTTGAAGATGAAGAGGTCTTAGGTTAGAGAGAGAGAGAGAGAGAGAGAGAGAATATGATAACTGGATGGAATAAGTGCGTCTAATGTTTTTCTTTTTAATTATTTAATTAATAAAATATGAAATAATAAATAAAAAAATGAAGGGAAAAGACAAAACAATCATTTCAAATCGTTTAAGGACTAAAACAATAGGGAGTTTTTTTTTTGGGACTAAACCCACATACGACAGTGGATTTCGTAGTGGTGAAAATATCAAAATCATCTTTGAACTTCTATTGAATTCCTCACAATTCATGTTAATCAAAACAAGATTATAAACGATGATATGTTGGTATTTTGGCTATCAAGTAATGGTGCAATGGTGTTGGTTGTCATAAACGATAGTGGGGATGAGGTTTCATTGGAGTTATGTTTATGAGATCGACATCGGGGTTGGATCGCTGAGAAGAATAGGGGATGCTGGTAATGGATTGGGGGATGGGGAGGAGATAAAATCTTGAAGATGAAGAGGTCTTAGGTTAGAGAGAGAGAGAGAGAGAGAGAGAGAGAGAGAGAGAGAGAATATGCCCCTAATGTTTTTCTTTTTAATTATTTAATTAATAAAATATGAAAATAAATATGAAATAATAAATAATAGAAGGAAGGGAAAAGGTAAAACAATTATTTGAAATCTTTTAATGATTAAAACGATAGGTTTTTTTTTTTTTTAGTTGATAACTTTTTAAATCTTATTCATAATTTTTTTTATCAATTTTACAGTTTTATCTAAAAAAACAATTAGAACCAAATGGCAGTCGAAACAGTGACAATTTGTGAAATTTACTCTATTATTATCCTGCTTTTATAACTTAATGTGCGAAGACTATTCATCTTCTTTGTAACCGACCAGCTTTGGATTCTAAATTTTGGACTCGAACTCTTCTTTATTTTGATTTGTGGCCTCACCTTAATTTTTCTATTTTCGCGTTCAAATTCAGTTAGTGCTTTTGGTTTATAAATCGTGAACAAAATTGGATTTGGAATTAAATCACAAAAAAATAGTTAATAATTACCATTTTCTTTATAAGCAAACTTTTTCCACCCATCCAAAGAAGGACCAGTTTTTCCAGTTTTGTCTGATTAAAAGGGATTGTGTATTGTCAACCTTATAAACATTCATTTTGTATTTTTCATGTGTTATCATATATTTCGTATTGATAATCATGTCATACGTATGACCCCATAATTTCATGCTGTTTTCATGTTTCGTAGCTTCTGAGAATTAGTTAACTCTTTAAACTTTATTAATATTTGTGTTTTTCTCCATATATGATAAAAGTCGTTGAGGTTGCATGCAATGATTTTGAGTTTAGATATAGTAATGTTCAAGAGCCGAGTAAGATTCCAAAATTCAATCATCTTTTCCTGACTTTAGTCAATTCAACATGCTTTTCCAAACATTATGTATTTTATGGTTTTGATTGCTCTCATGATTAGGCACAAATATCGTTATTTTTTGTTCTATTTTTCTTACCTTTCAAGAGTTGACTTAGTTGAGTAATATCAAGAAATAGATGTTGGGTAGATGTGTTTTGAGTTCCAACTAGGTGGCTCCTATTAATGATTTCTATGATCTTACATGGTTAGCTAATGTTAATATAAATAACATCCAAGCAAAAAAAAAATGATCTTACACATGATAACACAGATTTTGACATCATTTGTCAATGTCTAATAAGTTTATGTTGTATGACATCTAGAATCTAGATTTTGTAACGATCAAGTTTATCCACTCTTATATTCCTAAAGTTTAGTTTGCCTAATATAGATTTATGGTATCTTAGTGGCTAAAATTAAACTACTTTTGTATATACTTGCTAACATATGACTAACTAGATCTTAATGGTGAATTAAAATGTAGGTCAACATGGGAAGTATGTTGAAAACTCTAGCAATTTTCCTATCCTTGTCAACTCTTGTCTATACTCCGGTATCTTCCACATCAGTGGATGAGCTTGTTAGGATAAAACTAAAAAAAGTGAAATTTAGTGAAACCAATTCAGACGTCACTTTAAAAGCATCTGTTAGGAAGTACACAAAGAGTTTAAATAACCTTGGTGATTCCACGAAATCTGATATCATAGCACTAAACAACTATATGAATGCTCAATACTTTGGTGAGATCGGCATTGGCACCCCACCTCAAAAATTTAATGTGATCTTCGATACTGCTAGTGCTAACTTGTGGGTACCTTCGTCAGAATGCTTATTTTCGGTAAGTTTATATATATTCAAAATAAAATAAATATCCTAATATTCAACCTCAATCAAATAGTTCATATCTGTCGTTCTAACATTTCGGCGTAACGAGACATTCTAATAAGTTAAAAAAGTGTTTGCATTGGTCAAAAAGGTTTTGCAAAGGACTTTTTATATTGACAAAATAAAGAAGTTTCAAAAACACTTTAGTCTTTTTTATGGCTTTTTAGTTTTTAGTTTTTTCCTATCACTTTTTACCTTTAAAAGACTAGGTCAAATACTTTTAAAACCAATTTATTGACTTTTAATTTTTTTCTTACCACAAAAAACTAATCAAAAACATTTTTTTTAAAAACTCCTTTTCAAAAAATGATAAGCAAATAATCACTTTTACCAAAAACATTTTTGAAATTAAAAAGAATTCCAAACAAAACCAGGACAAAAGGTTGTAAATTTCGATATATTAAGTTTTTTAGAACCAAAAGGGGCAAAACCAAATCACAACGTACACGATAGAACTTTTATGCAAAATAAGTGATTTATTTAACCAAACTAAATTTGTTTGATTTAATCGGCAAAATGATAAATATAGTTCTTTTAATAATATATATATATATATATATATATATATATATATATATATATATATATATATATATATATATATATATATATATATATATATATATATATATATAGTACGTATTCCAATAATTATTGATCATTTACATGTGAGTATATTCACACTTGATTATCAGTAAATTTATTTGTATATAATCAACGTGTTAAAATCTACAAGATTCGCATGACCATATGTATAAAAATTGTTAAAATATATAGATTTCTTAGTCCACATTCACATTTTGATCATATATATGAATTAAAATATGTCTGTGAATACCGATTAAAATAGATATATAAAATTTAGATGTGAATTCAAACAAAAATTCACTTCCACATCTGAATCTAAGTAAATCAAATGTGAATCTACGAAAATTCACTTATTTTTCTTCGATTTTGACATTTCAATCATACATAAATCATTTTACTGATAATCATAGTTGAATTTATTTAAATTCACAAGTAAATGATTAATAATTACTAGAAAAATCAGATATAATAAGCATTTACTTCTATTTTTTTATAAAATACGATATAAATCATATTCATATTAAAATCTAATCTTAAATTTTGAAAAAAAAAAGTACATTTTTCTAGCAATATGAATTTATATTTAAAAAGTAACAAAACATTTGAATTTAGATTATTATTATTATTATTATTATTATTATTATTGATAAAAAATAAACATTAAATTTTTCAAAAAACAAAGAAAACAAAGTGAATTTTTTTTTTAAAATTCGTGTTTATATATCAATATTGATCTCTAATAAAGGAAACGAAAAATTATTACTATTTGTATATTCAACTTATTTTTCAATAAAACAAACTTAGCATAACAAAATTTATACTAAATAACAAACTAAGTTTTTTAGTATAATCATATGTATGCGTGTCCAATGTAAAAGTCTACAAATTTTCCTTTAACCGTTGATAGTTATGATTTATGATGCTGAAGATTGGTTTTTTGGTTTATGGTTAATAATTACTTTGTATTGAATTATATATATATATATATATATATATATATATATATATATATATATATATATATATATATATTAAATACATAATCTATTCGTATGTGAATATACGAATACTTCTAATAATACTAGAGTAACTTCAACACATATGAGAATAAAGGCCGACATTTGGAATAGATTTTTATTATATTTTTTTATTCATGTGGTGTTCATATGTAAATAAAAAAGAATAGCCGTTTTATTCATGTGATTATTGAAATAATTCAAATTAAAATTTGATACATAGTTTACTCAATGTGAATATAAAAAATACTTTAGATACATGAATAATACACATAAAGAGAGTTTTATTAAAAATTATATTAAAATTATATTATATCAAAAAGCATATTAAGTGTATAGAATAAAAAAATAATAAATTTTCATAGATTCGATTCGTTTTTCGTTATAACAAAATATTGAAAGTTATATTGACGATATTCATTCTTGCGTTCTTTACTTTTGTTTTTGTTCTCTGTTTCATACATTTCAAAATAGAGAACGAATGTCAATCACTCATTTAAAAATATATATATATATATATATATATATATATATATATATATATATATATATATATATATATATATATATATATATATATATATTATTATTTTTTACTCTATAAAAGGGATTTTTTTGTTAATATATATTATTAAAAAATATAAGTTTACAATTTTTGTTTATAAAATCTCTCGACGTATGTATCATTTACATGTTATTAAACATTTGAATAACATATGGATAAACTGTGTTATTCATATGTAATTTATACATAATTTATTCATATGAGAATAAAAAATTAGCACAAAATAAAATCAAATCCTTATTATATTCATTTGTAAATAATTCAAACGATGAGAATACTTATATAAAATGTTAATAAATTTGCTATATATTCTATTCTTATTTTGGCTATAACAAAATACTAAAAATGATGTGGTCGAGAACCTTTCTATGGGAATATAGTTATAAAATTAATTGAACTTTCGTAATAAAAATTTATAATTATTAATCAATTATTTTAAATAAGTTATTAATTAAGAGATATATATCAAAATTTTAAAGTTATTATAACCTCAAATTTAACATATATTTAGAAAATATAAATTTAAATTTTGAAATAAATTGTTTAACAGAATGGGAATATATTATAGTAGAATGCAATCTCGTTCTTCGTATTCCATCAAACTTTGTTGTATTTTAAGTAATGAGTCCATAAACAAAACAATAACTCATACATTGAATCGTATATATGAATTCATTCTGAAAGCATGTTATTGTCAACATCAATGACGAATTTAATTAGTTTGCGTAAAATATTATAATTATGGATATCATTTAATATACATTTAATTATGGAAATTATTTATTATCTATCTTTATTTAATTAAATAACTATTTAATTTTACTAATCCTACTTACAGCTATCAAATCGAGCAGTCGTGTCGTGTTTTTGCATGACACGACACGACATGACAAGGTTTTGTATAACATTAACAGGACACTACACGATGTCGGGTTTTTTTTTCATCAATACAAAAGCGAATCCATTAAAACACGACAATACGACAGAACATGACAAAGATAATATTACATAACTATTAGTGTATTTTATTCATACATATATATATATATATATATATATATATATATATATATATATATATATATATATATATATATATATATATATATATATATATATATATATATATAACATGATAAAAACGATAAACACGAAAAACCTAACAACCAAATGCTTAATCATGTCAATTTCATGTCGATTTATAAACATGGACACGATACGACACGACATCGTGTTTTTTAATCTTGATACGAACACGACACGAAACACGAATTCAATTTTGATTTCGTCTTAATTTCGTTTCGTTTCGTGTATTTTTTCGTGTTATGTCATAAATTGACACCCCTAATCCTACTGGTGTATTCTAACACACAATAAATATAAAAACACATGAATATATATATATATATATTATATATATATATATATATATATATATATATATATATATATATATATAATATATATATAATATGACGGTTCACTTGAGAAAAATAAGATTAAGTATGTGGACTCAATCTTAGTCACACATTTATTTTATTGCAAAACACTTAGACATTCCGACAGAAATTGGGAAGGATACACAGGTGTTTTAAAAGCAAACATGTTTCCTTAAAGTATCATAATCATTATATATATATATATATATATATATATATATATATATATATATATAGGCTTTTATTGTTTTTTTTAAGAATCTATTTTTATCAAAAAAAATTATATATTTGATATTCATAATATTTTATTCTCGATAAACACATATCCATATTGATATATATTTTTAAGATAAAATATATTTTTATAGTGTCAGCTCCCGTTATTGATAAGTGAATAAAAATAAATTAGATTTCTATTACACTACATTCGTTGTTCACTTATTAATAAAATGTATGCATTAATTTTTCTACAGTTTAAGTATTATTCATATATTGATACAACACAAAATAAAGGTTTTCACATAAAATATATATTTTACATCATCTTTCATCACATGTTATATGCATATATAAATAGAACATGCATTGGCTCTCGTCACATCTTATATTTATATATGAATAAAAAATTTATCAGGTTTTTGTTACAGTTTATTTGTTGTTTATATATGAATAAATAGTATGTTAATAAAAGACAAATATTTTTAAAATTCAAGTTACTTATATATATATATATATATATATATATATATATATATATATATATATATATATATATATATATATATATATATATATATATATGTATAACAAATATACTATAACAAAATTGTAATAAATGTGTTAATTATATATGAATAAAACTTATGAAAATAAGTAATACATATTTTATTTATATGTGAACATAACATGTAACGAAAGCTCATATAAACTATTATAATTTATTATATGTTACATTCATATATCACAAATACTTAAACTATAAAAAAAATTAAGTACACATTTTAATTATATGTGTATAACAAATGTAGTGTAACAAAATTCTGACACACCTTTATTCACTTATTAATAACGAGAGGTAAACTATATAAATTTTTTTATCTTAAAACTATTTTAATATGTATGTCTATTTATAGAAAATAAAAAATTATAAAATTTGATATATTTAAAATTATTTTTCGATAAAAATAATTACTTAAAAAAGCGATATATAATATTATTTTTATATATTATGGTAATTACTCTCACAATTTAAGAAAATATATTTTGTTTGAAAACATATTTATTACATTCCGATTTTCGCCGTTACGATTGCAGGTTTTGTGGCAAAAATAAATTATTCACTAAGAATCATTATTTCATTCTCAATCTTTTTTATTTTCACAATTTACTTTATCTCTTTCTCTCTCTCTCTCTCTCTCTATATATATATATATATATATATATATATATATATATATATATATATATATATATATATATATATATATATAGAGAGAGAGAGAGAGAGAGAAAAGTGAATATACCCTTAAGGGTATTTAAGCTTAGGTACCCAAACTCACTATACTACATCGTTTTGTATCATATATATACATTTTAATTATCCAATGTTCTTATAATTGAACTTCTAACTTGATTTACTTCTAATATTTTTATCAATTTCACATTTATATTCATCGTACGTAATTTTCATTTTCAACTATAATATATATAGTCTAGTAGGTGTTCGGCAAAAACATGTGATATAAGAGGAAGATAATAATGAAATTTCGAAAATTTTGAAAGTAAATCAAGTCAAGTGTTGAAGTATACGAATATTATAATGAATATATTAAACAAAATGACGTATTATAATGGGTTTGGGTACCTAACCTTATATACCGTTAAGGGTATATTCACTTTTCTCATATATATATATATATATATATATATATATATATATATATATATATATATATATATATATATATATATATATATATATATGTATATATATATATGTATATATATATATATAATATATAATATATATATATATATATATATATACATATATATATATATATATATATATATATATATATATATATATATATATATATATATATATATATATATATATATATATATATATATATATATATATATATATACACTGATGCATACATGATATGACCAGTAAATTAATGCACAAGGCTTATGCTACTCATGCAGGCATCTTGCTCTAGTCACAGGAAATACGAGTCAAGTAAATCAAGCACTTACAAAGCAAATGGTTAGTTAATTAGTCTTATCGGCTAAATTTCTTTTTTATTTTATTTTATTTTATTTTATTTTATTTTATTTTATTTTCTTCTGGTATGAGGTTGCACGTACAACTATCGCATTGAAGCTTATATATCTACCAACACTACAAAATATCCATACGTAGAAAATGCTTATATAGTCGTATATTTTGTTACCACATTCTTAAAACTTTTGTTCCTATATTACCTTGTAGATAATCAATCTATATAACCAATGAAGCTTACAAGATGTTAAAGATCAATTAATTTAAAAACGACACTACTGTTTATAAAAAATGTTACTTAGTTTTAACTAGAATTTTATCCCCGTGTATTGATACGACAATAATTGATTTAAAAAGGAAAACTTTTTAAGTAGCTCTAGAAAGTTAGAAGGATGTAAGTTGTTAAATCACAGGCATCATAGACCAAATCTATGCATAGAAACATAGGATAATTTACGTTGGCAAAGCATGAAAGTCATGGACCAAAGGCACGCAAAGAAAAATTATTAAAAGTAAGCTTGAAAATCAAAAAAAAAAAATTACGTCGAAACGTTGACAAAATTGATTTTATACTGAGACGTACGTAAAAAGAATTATGTTTTAATTTTATATTAATGAACAAAAGTTCTAAATATAAGTCGAAATGTTTACCATCTTGATTCTAAACCAACACATACATAAAAATAGAAAACATAACAAATTAGGTTTATTTACTTAATGGATTTTACAATGTTAAAAGTTGAGAGGGTGAAATTGATATTTTACAAAGTTTGGGATTGTAAACGTAGGATAATCTGAATATTTATACTATAAGGTATACATATGAAATTTTAGAAAATGGAGGGGTGAAAATGATTTTTGAAAAAGTTAAAAGTTAAGTAGGATGAAAATAACATTTTAAAAAGTTCAAATTTTAGTAGTAAGTCAATTGAGAAGGTTTGTTGTAATGTTGTTTATTGTTACACCCTAATATTTTTAAAGCATTTAAAAACCATTGTTGATATAAAAGTCACGATATATAGTAACGTGTACAGAATATGTTAAAAGAAAATCTATAAGATTTTTCAACTTGTACAATACTACATCACAACCATAGTTTAGCATGAAGTCTTACAAACACTAAGTGTTTTATTATGCATTCAAAAGCTTATATATAAGATCCTTCACTTATGATCCACCTAAATGCAACTCCCATAATATAAAGGAAATTTCGCTTTATAAAGGTATCTTGATAAACTTCCATAATAAAAGGAATAAATCAAACATATCAAGGTTCATAAA